ATATTATAATTTTTAATAAAATTACTATTTTTTAATTGTTTGACTTAAATTTTTAAATTTATCATTAAATATTAAATTTAGACAATACAAATAATTTTTCATTTTAAAGTTTATGATAAAAGCATGATAACAGCTTCAACAATAACAAGTGCAATGATGATAATTATTATTATAACAATTATTAATACGTAATAGTAAGAATAATAATAGCAAAAGATATAAAAATAATCGTAAAAAGATATTAATAATAAATATCATGATAAAAGTAATGGTAATAATAACAATCATAATATCAATTAAAGTGAAAATAACACAAAATTTTATGTTTTGAAGATAAAAGATATAGTTTAAATAATTTAATAAAATTATAAGTAGGTTAGGTTGTTAAACAGGCATGTATTTTTTTTAACTAAAGAGGTGTACTTAGATATATAATTTAATTAAATATTTATTTGATAAATTAATTTTATATGATAATTTACTTTATAAATTTAAATATAAACTATTATAATAGAAATATCTTATTTTAATAAGTTATACTACTAAATTAATTGAAATGAATTAAAAAAATATATAAAAGTCATAAATTATTTTTATAAGTTGTTTATAAACTATTTTAAACAGATTAAGAAGTAAACTTAGAAAATACTTATCTTATTTTTATTTGACCTCAAACAGACCAGTAAAGTTAAAATTAATGTTTAGTTAGAGGTAATACTCTGCCTTAACCCACTGTATTTGGAATTGCTGGAATCAAAACATTTCAAATGATTATAAAAGTGCTAAAACTGAACTGAATTCAAAATTTTGTGACAGAACGTACTATAAATAAATAAATGAATTTTTGCACAAGAATTGAAAAGCCCCTAACTTCAGCTTCTTTTTACATTTTATAACCATTTTGGACATCAAGTTTTTCGATAAGACGATGATATAAATCATAAAATTTCCTTCCTTGAGTATAATTTACATCACATACATGGCCACGATTTTATCCATAAACAGAGAAATTTTTGCAAGCGGAAAACACAGGAATTAAGAAGTAAGAGCTAGAAGAAAATTTGAAGCGGATTCCCTTTTTTTCCCATTTCAGTATCTTTCACTAACGAGAGAAGATCCAAAGTATTAAACCACAAAAGATTAGCACAAAGGGTATGAGATGAATGGCTTTCTGGGTCGGTGGCTTACCATGAAGAGACACTTCCTTCTTGTTGGTAACGTTTGATACAGAATTATGTATTGGAAGACCATATGAATCTGCCATTTTAAGAGATGAGGAAGCTGAAGCTGTGGCTGAAACGTCAACAAGGAACTCACCGTACCCTCTTGAGATACTTGAAGATCTATGCATTTTTCAGAGGAACGAGTACTTATAAATTGAATTGAAGCGTTGTTTATATATGTGCTATATTACCTTTGCTTTCAAAGCTGAAAAGGTTTTGAATTAAACCGAGGTTTTAGTTGCTGCTTAGTTGTTACAATTAATAAATGAAGTCTAATTAAAGTCAAACGTAAGAGTAATTGAAAACTTGGCTTAAAAGCAGCTTGTAGAGTAATTAAAGGGATTGCATGTGCATGGCCTTGGAAGAATCACCAAATTTCCTTCACAAGTCATAAGAGATGCGGAGGATGGCAATCAATATTAGTGTCAATAAACGATGCATTGTAACCAGATAAGCTCATATTTTATTGCTTAAGCCCAAGCAAAACATGGTTTTCCAAATAATCATTCTTCGAACAAGCAAAACCTTGAATCTAATTGCTGAGTTGATTGACCTGGGGAGGGCCTTGGGCAGCGCAATAGGCATCTCTTAAGCGGTGCAATAAGTGGTTTTGTTCCCTGAGCAATTTATACACATTCTTAGGGACAATTTTGTGAAAAGGTGATTTCTTATTACTAGTTGTATGAGTAACCGTCTTTATGAAAGGCTTTTATGAATCAAGTACCGGTTACAAAGTTAATAAATAACTTTTTTTTATTAAAAAATATATTAAAATTTACGCTCATGAAAATAAATGTATTTTTAAGCTTTTTAATAAAATTATTTTTAATTATTATTTTTTAACTACTACCTTAAAATACTGATTAATATTTTTCTTATAAAAAAAATTATAGATGATTGTGGATCTAATCCAATTCATGAACCCGATCGATTAATTCAATTAAAACTGAAAGCTACAAATTGGTACAAGTATCCGGGTTAAATAGGACCATAAAGAGTGTAACTATATTGCCATCGGGTTATATGGGGCCATCTAACAAACTTAATTTTTAAGGTTTTTTTTCTTTTATTTTATTAATATATTTTATTGACTGATATAGTTTGTATAATATTTTTTTTATGACTACTTTTACACATGCATTTTTCTTTATCTTTTTGTTACATAATTTATTTTATTATTAATATTTTTCATCTATAAATTTTTAGTTAATATTTTTTTCATCATAAATAAGTATAAATTTTTAATGAGCTTTCTTATATAAGAGTAATTCTAGGAGTTAGTTTTCTTTTTCAACATCAAGCTATTTTTTTACATCAAGTACGTATTTTTTAGTTTATTGTTAATTTAAATTTTAAATTCTTTTACAATGTATTTTTTAATTTAAATTTTATCTCTTTATTTAATACAATAAAGTATTTATTAATTTATGAGTGCAGATCCTTAAATGATAATGTTTTTAAGAACTTTGTCAAACGGTAATACTTTAGAGAGTTAGGTTCTTTTTCTAATCATGCCAAGTACTTTTTGATAAGAGTTTTGTTTAATGATTACGAATCAGAATCTTTTCAATCATAGTTGGTGAATAAGGATCCAAGCAGAGCATTTTCCATGTGTTTGGACTGCCATTCCCGTGTTAAACAACTATTTTTATTATTTTTTTGTTGAAAGAAATCGAGAATATAATTATGCAGATTATCTTTGTATTAATAAAATAAACCAAACACACACACATATTATATATATATGTATATATTAATGCTTTGGTTCTTAAGATGTTATAATCGTGTTAGTCAAGTCCATCTTCCAATCTGACAATAATATTTTCAATTCAACTAGAATTAGATTAAAAAAATGTTTATAAAAGACAACGTTTTCTTTTCATGACATATCTTGTTGGAAGATAAAAGTAGGAAAATTTAACCGAAATTTTCGTAATCAGTGTATCAAAAAATTTAAATTGGAGCACAGGTAAAAGTGGTAGATGGAAGGAAAAAGATCTTGATTTTAGGAGGGCTGTGCTAGTTCCATATTGCAGAAAATAAATCAGATTTAACGAGGGTTAAAAAAATAGGTTCTACCATCAAATTGTTGACAATTTTAAGGGAAAATTTTTAATTAGAGTAAAATACCAACTAATTATTTATTTGAAACGAGGGTCCCTAAAGATAATAGCAATATAATAATAGTGAATAATTAGAGTAATAAAAAAATAATAAAAATAATAACTAATGATAATAGTCATAATAGCAATAATATAAAGATATCAGTGCTTATAACAATAATAATAATAAGAGTAGTAACAATAATAATGGTAACGATCATAATGATAGTGATAACAACGATTATTGTGATAATAATAATAGTGATAGATAATTATAGTGATTAAAAAAAAATGATTGTAGTAGTAACAATAATTTAAAAATGATAATTAATGATAATAATATTTATAATGGTGATAATGATAAAAGTGGTAATGATAATGTTATCAGTGCAATTATAGTTGTAACGAGGTTAGTTGACAATGATAAAGACAATATCAATTGAGATAATAATTTCAATAGATGAGATAATAACAATGGTGATAATTAATGATTAAAGATGTTATTTTAACAAACTTAAAGTAATTAAATAACAGTAATGATAGTAAAAACAATAATAGAGAAAATATATATGTGATAATAAAAGTAATACACAAGTAAGAAAAAAAAAAGTTAATATAGGTAGTTTAAACTTATTAAATTATAAGATTTAAACTTAAATTCTAAGCTTGAATTAACTTTGAATTTTTTAAATTTAGCTTATCCAAACTTTTTTCTTATCAAATTTAAGTGAATCTAATCTATTTAAAGGTACAATGTAAATTCATGTTTAGCTAAGTTTATATTTTAAAGTTCAAATAAAAAATAAATTTTTGTATTCGACCTTAGAATGTTCATTGCAAGTTGAGCAACTCATTTTATTAGCACTAATGTATTTTGAAGAAAACCAAGATAGAATCAGTTATAAAACTAAAAATCAAACAATTTTTTTTTTACAATTTGACTGAGTTAAAAATTAGCTTAACTTCATTTTAGTCAAAATAATTGAAAATTACATTTAAAATATTCTATTAGCATATGATTTAATTTGAAATAATATAGAATATTCTATTGGCTTATTTTAATTTGAAGGTAACAGAGTTAATAAATGTGGGGTAGAGTGTCATTTTAGGGAAAAATGTTATTTTGACAAACTTAAAAGTGGTGGGTGTTATTTATTCCTAAGTTAAATTCTGTGAGAGGAAGAAAGAGAGAAACATGCTATAATAATGAATTGCCGCGTTAGAGAGAAGGCATCCTTTCCCCTTCGTAATTATAGGGGAAACCCCATTATTGACCAAAGCAAAGTTCAAGTCATTCTCATTCCTCTTTGTCGCTATATATTTATATATATTGGATTTTGACTAAATCAAAACCCGCGTTTGACAGAAGAGTTCTCGGGTCCTAAAAACACGAGCATGCACTCTCTGGTCTTTGCCCTCAAGTCGGACTTATATTGCTTTTAAAATTCTTGGTTGCTTATAATTCGTATAAATAAATCATAAAGCTACCCAACATCTCAGCTTTTAGCTGTTTTGAAGATGAAAAACAAAAATTGAAATAAATGGTCCCCATCTTGAAATTTATTAAATAATAAATATTCAAAACGCAAGTTACACATTGCAATCACAGACTAAACTAACCTACTCAACCCGGCTCCCGTTGGAACCATAAAGAGGCCCTCTTGCATTTTGCTTACTTCTTCATCTTAAAACAAAAGAACAAAAAAATAAAATAAAATGAAGTTTTAATGGAGGATAGAAAAGTTAACACAATCGCTGTTATATCAGTGATTGCACTGATCATTGTCATCATAGCTGCTCGTGTCTCGTTGAAGCTCTCAAGGGCTTTCTTCCTTATTTGTGGTGCTGCTATTGCTGTGATCCTCGCTGTTTTTTCTTGTCTATTCATAAGACAACGTTACAACCGCAGAAGGCGGTTGTTGGAGTCGCAGTTGAGGTCAGAAGGGAGAGAGCTTCGAATAGAGTACAGTTTCTTAAGGAAAATTGCCGGTGTTCCAACCAAATTTCGGTACAAGGAGCTTGAAGAAGCAACGGATGGTTTTCAAGCACTTCTGGGAAGAGGGTCTTCTGCTTCGGTTTTCAAAGGCATTCTCAATGATGGTACTTCAGTAGCTGTGAAACGAATCGATGGAGAGGAACGTGGAGAGAGGGAGTTCAGATCAGAAGTTGCAGCCATTGCTAGTGTGCAACATGTGAACCTTGTACGCTTATTTGGGTACTGTAATGCTCCTACGGCTCCTAGGTACCTTGTTTATGAGTATATTCCAAATGGGTCTTTGGATTGTTGGATCTTTCCCGCAAGGGAAACACATGCACGTCGTGGTGGATGTTTGACATGGTACTTGAGGTATAGAGTTGCCATTGATGTTGCTAAAGGATTGTCTTATCTTCACCATGATTGTAGGTCAAGGGTTTTACACCTTGATGTGAAGCCAGAGAATATTCTTCTTGATGAGGATTATAAAGCTCTTGTTTCAGATTTTGGTCTCTCGACGCTTGTTGGCAAGGATGTAAGCCAAGTTATGACAACAATAAGGGGAACAAGAGGGTATTTGGCCCCTGAATGGCTATTGGAAAGGGGGGTTTCAGAGAAAACTGACATATATAGTTATGGGATGGTTTTATTGGAGATAATTGGAGGGAGAAGAAATGTTTCCAGGGTGGAAGATCCGAGGGACATGACTAAGAAAAAGTGGCAGTTTTTCCCAAAGATTGTTAATGAGAAAGTGCGAGAAGGGAAGTTCATGGAAATTGTGGACCATAGGCTAGTGGAGCGTGGGGGTGTTGATGAGAGTGAGGTTATTAAATTGGTGTATATTGCCTTGTGGTGCATACAAGAGAAGCCAAGATTGAGGCCTAGCATGGCACAGGTGGTTGATATGCTTGAAGGGCGTGTGAGGGTGGATGAACCCCCAGATTCCAGAATGATTCTTGTTGATTTATTGTCTGTGGATGAAGACCATGCAGATCAAAACAATTTGGTAAGGTTATTGACCTCTATGTCAAGCCATGTGGATTATGCATCTACCTACTCTTTGGAAACCACTATTTTATCTGGCAGATAGCTCTAAGCTACTTTAGGAATTAGAGGTTCTACTGGAATCAGCTTCAGGGTCTTCCCTTACTATTTTTGGTTCTGATTACTTGGTTTCTTCAATTGTATAAATTGGAACTTAGTTCTAAAACTATCAGCAAATTATACATATAGTTTATCTTTTCTTCATTATTACTTATTTTTTTCTGGGTCTATTTTGAAACGTCGCCTGCTACTGGGAAATGCCATGTTCATAATTTATTCCTGGCATGTACATTATTTAAAGGTTCCATTTGACTAGATCTTTAGTTGACACTGTCTTAAATTTTTTACACATATCAGTCTTTTCTTGCAAAGGTAATACGAGTAAAATCAATAAAGAAAAAGGGGGCAGGGGTATGTTAGACGTTGTCAAACTCTAGACTTTTTTAAAAAATAAGCTTAAATATGTCTTAATATTTGTAAATATGGTTAAATTTATTTTTAGTTTTTTTTAAATTAATATTTATACAAAAGTTAAAGACAATATCTATCACTACTTAAAAGTGATTTGATATACTTCTAGCAATTTTATGCTAAGAATCAATCTAAAGTTAGGTGTGACGTAACATCTGTAATTGTATCACGTCATCAATAGGTTTTGATTAAGGATTATTTTAAAAATTATAAAAATCAAACCAACAATAAAAAAATTGGACTAAAACTAAATTTTACTATATTTATAAAAACTAAAAATATATTCTATCCAAATAAATAAAGTGACTAGAATTCACTTGTGCCCTTTTTCTAATAACTACCTGTTCATTTGGAATTTCATAAGATAATTTTTGCAATTAAGTTTGTTTGGAATAGTATTATTTCATTTCATTAACCAATTATTTTACATAGTATACTTGAAGATTTGTAATAATGTATGAAAGTTGCATATTATTTCGCTATAATTATTGTTTTAATTCTGTAACTACAGTGTTTCCAATAATTTTTGAGTCATAATATTACTATTTATTTGAAAATTTGATAGCATATGATTGGATAATACAGTAAAACATTCTACATTAATAATACATTTAAATTAAATCCATTAAAATCTTATCTATTTATAATAAAGACAAATGTTCGTAATTCTTTTTTGATAATTTATTTTTAACACTTTTTTCTATAATTAAGAGAAATCTAATGTTGACTTTATTAATAAAGGGCGAGCTTAAGATGTTAAGCATGACTAATATGAAATTTTACTTAATAATAAAGAACATATTTAAAAGAAAATAGCAACATCATTCCTTTAATGATAAACGAATAAAAAGAAACAAAAAATTAATATGAGCACAAATTCATAATTTTTTAATTTAAAATTAAAGAAACCGATTTTGACAGCAATGGTATCGTTCTACTGCAAAGGTATTCACGTAATCTTGTACAGAAAAAAGAATAGAGAGAATATTAATTAATTTCAACTCTGGGATCAGGGTATCCTTTCAAAACGATGGTAAGAAACTAAAGGGCAATTTCCACGTAAAGGAAATACAGGAAAAATCAACGCTTTAATTTTCTTCATAAATCTAAGAGATCCCAAACAATGCTTATTGAAAATTTAAATTTCAAGCAGCGGCCTGTATACTGAAACGTGGATGCTTAAAGCTCCGCGTGTATTACTTGTCAAAGGAATAAAGGAATTAAGGTTTTCTACGAGAGAGTAAAGAAGATTATTTCACAAGAACCACCAACTATGCTCCAAGGATTGTTCCAAAGAATGAATAATTTGTCACGATGGAAAATAATTTTTCAGGTTGGAAGGGAAGAGTGCCAAATAAATATCAAACCTACCATCTATTTATGCTCATAGAATGAAATATACTTCGATTTGTTTCTTAAACTGTTGCTGGAAACATTGCGAAATAAACAAGATCAAATCTTGATAAGCATTCAATGCTCGTGCTATATTTGATCATGTCATGTACTCCACCTAAAAAGTAGGATCACAGATTTGGCATCGATAACGTGCATCATCTAATTTCAGCTCTCCCTAGGATACGTCGAATAGGATCGAACTATGTTGTATGATTTCACACCAAATTACTCAAAAAACAAACCATCAGTACTCAAAATGTAATTATTTGCAATCAGAAACCCCCAACAGATAGAAACATGTTTTGAAAAGCATCTAATAATAATAATAATAATAGCAAGAAATGTTACATTTGAGTCATCTTGAGAATAACGATCACAAACAACATTCAACAAACTGTAGAACAATTGAAGTTTCCGATATATAAAATATCCCACATTAAATTATATATAAGCAATACGTAAATACCATATTGAAACTAGACATTCCCCGATTCGTATGTTGCAACCTTCCTTCACACGAAAATGGTAATTGGAAAGGGCCAAAAATGCCCTCACGAGTTCCCCATGCCACCTCTTTCCCCTCCAAAGATGGTATCAAAGGCCATGGCAATTCACCACTCTTATAACAGAAATTTCCAGAAAGAATAGAAGTTTTCTGATCCAGTCTTGCTTACAGAGGTCATTTCTTTTACTGTCGGGCAGGAAAATACCAGCTTCATTAAAACAACTATAAAGACTCAATCCACGAACTGAAAAACATTTTACAGTATTTGGTTCAGCTAATTTTTAAAAAAAAAATCCTTGCTTTTACCAGCTTCCTGAGAGATATTCTAAAAACTAAACGAATATTTCTTAAAAATAAATTGTTACCAAACGCACACTAATTCCTCAAACAAACTGGCTTATCTACTCACAGAATATTTCATAACTAAGTTTGGATGTCTTATGTCATTTACAATTTACATGACAAAGACTTGGGAGCCCCAACACTCCCCAAACTTTCAAACCCCCCAAAAAATTACACACAAACAAACAAGCCCCATGATAAACCTTTATACATAAACAACACAGCACTAGATACAGTTTGGACTCTTCAGTTACAATGAATGAACCAAAGGGAATGCAAGAAAGCCATGGAAAGAAAAGAAAAATTTGGGAGAAAAGAATCACTGCAAATCAAATGGATAAATATTCAAGCGAAGACAGCCTGTGTTATCCAAGTGTTTTCTAACCTTGAAGACACTACAATCACTTTACTTGGGCCTCTTTAATGAACGTAACATCCTCAGTTCCAGATGCTGGTGAAAGAAGGTGCTTTTCTTGGTCATCATCTATTTCTGTTGAACCACGGGGGGTGGGTGTGGCAGTCGATAGAGATTCAACAAATTCATCCTCTGGAACAGTTACAAAAAAGACAAGAAGAAAGTTCCATGTATTAACAAGATGGAAAATAAAGTATGGATTAGAATTTAGAATACATGCTGATTGAGAAGAAACAAGGAACTAGAGATATACACACCTGAGCATTCATGGTATTCAGGTAGCTGTTTAACATTTGTTACTTGAAGACTTTCAGGAAGTAGACAGCTACACAAAGCACCTGCAATTTGGACCAAAAGGCTGAACTTAGGATTATTATTGTATTTTTATGATAATTGTGTCTGTGTAATCAGCACGAATACGAAGTAGGGAGGATAAGACATAAAATGTATAGAACAGAACTACAAGAGAGAAATCAATGCACTGGATTAGACACATCACCCAAAATTATGCTAATCTCACGTGATGACATTACAAATGATGTTATCCACCCAAAAACAACTGATGTTGATATTTTCAGAGACAGTATAACTTTCTTCCCAAACATAACTTGAAGAAAGCTGATGGAATAGAATTTGAAGTTCAAGCATTGACAAAACATAATCATTGTCAGAGTCTATTTTCAACAATTGACTTGAACTCAATTCAAATATTATGTGATTACATACTATAATAATTCTATTTTTGTGATATATAATAGAGCCAATAACTCAATATTTCAAGAGAAAGTATTTTCTTTCCTTATATATTCAAGTGTTTTCAGAAAAGTTTGTCTTATAACAGCCCAAAACTTCATAACTAACAGTTTGGGTAGGCAGTGTTCAATCTTGATCCCTTAGAACTTCAATGACATAGCTCACAGGAACAGAAAAGCGGGTATTAACCCTTTTATACATATATAAGACTTTTTACTCCAAACAATTAATAAATGTTTTATTGATCTGAATTATACTTAACAGGGAGAAGCTTGATGTTAGATGTCTTGCTAAAACAGACGAAAACAGAGCTGGAAGCAACTTCCATCTACTTTATAATGAGAATTTAGAAGATATATATGGAGTAAACAGAATTTTGTCATATGGTTTTACCTAGCCTAGCAAGTCGATTTACCCAACCCGGGATTCGTTTCCCAGTCAATCTATATGAGACATCATCTGTAAAGTGATTGCAGTTCTTAGATATAAGGTGATAGGTATCCCCATGATACTCAGAAGCCACGTTTTCAATAAATGTCCGGAAATCAGAAGAATTCATATTGGTTTGACCCAAACAGAGAGAGCGTCTAAATATGAATCCAGGACACTTCCTTGGCTCCACTTCAAAAACTCCACTAGCTGGGAAGTCATGGGCTCCAAATCCATACTCCTTCCCATGCACTATATCGAAATGAAAGAACCAAAGAAAGAAAGACAGAAGTTTCAACAGATTAGCATTAGCAACAAGAATTAAAACAGCAGTAACAAAAACACGGAACACATCAGCATAGATCACAAAAGACAGACATTTTCTGGAGAGAGAGCACCTTAAAAAATAATAGTTGCTTCCAAGCCACAATACAAAAAATGGCATATTTATCAGAAGAATTCAAAAACCATAAAAAATAATATATTAAAATGATAAAATTTAATAAGTTTAAATATGTTAATATTCATTTTTGTTTATTTTTGTTGAATCAAGGTACTCAATCAACCAGGAAAACCACCTTTATACACATGAAACCTAATTCACACACGGTGTATAATGTATCCCAAAAAGAAAGGCATGCTTGTTTATGCTTGACAACGAGATTGTAGCTTTTATTGACATGCAATGCGTGTAATCAACCTACCTTTGTCATTAATTATTGTATTATATAGTTAAAAATGCTTTCATAAATAGTATAATACACTTTGGTATACTTGGAGTTACCTTGCGTGAGTCTTGGACACAAGAAAGTGGACTGGGAAAGGCAAACATGAAGAAGATTATTGCAAAATATAAATGTGAAACCAGAGCAAGGAATTTGACACTTAGGCAAATCTTTTAAGATAACTGAAAAAAGCCGTTGAAGGGTGGAATGGAATTCTCAGCATTAAATGAGCTCCAATCAACATACTGGAGGCTTTCTGACTATACTAAAAGAACCACCTACTAGCATTAGATCAAAAAATTGATCTCCATTCAACAGATTTTTAATTTTTATAACCTGTTATATTCACTCCAACTCTCCAACTGAAAAACCCTTTGGGCGATTGTAGAGTAAATATTATTGATAGTGTTTTGTATTCTAAGGTATTTTTTGTCTTCTCACTTCCGAGATTGTAATCAGGGGTACAATTGTGACTTTCAAGTGTGACAAAACTTGGGAATCTTGAATTTGGGGTTCTGTTTTTCGCATAAAGAAAGGAGCTTCCTTTGGATTCTTGAAGGAAGACGAAAGGGTATGTTGTATATAAGCTAGGGCTTAGAAACTGTCGCCATTGCTGGCTTGTTGTTTCGTCTGATTATGATTAAAAAAAAAAAAAAGTTTACAAGGAGAGAGGATGCAGAACTATAAATTAAGACATCACCTTCTCACCTCATACTATTCTGTTGCCTCACTATTTTGATTTTGAATAAATTTATCAATAAATACTCAGAAAAAGAAATAAAGAGATAAAATAATCAAATTTCTTCCAAAAGTTAAAAATCAGACAATGCATCTCCAGCTTTGGAAAAGGTTAGAGTAGAGAATTTCTAAGGAAGATAAGGTGTTTTAACTTAGAGGTTCAATTTATTTTTTTCCTACAAGTATTCATTGATAAGTTTAGCGAAACTGAGCCTTAGTACATGTAATGCCTCTTTTGAGTTATGATTTAGTTTACATTCATAGAACTGACGCGTTATTTCCCCCCTCTTTATGCAGTTTGCTCTCCGATTCATTGGTCTAATCATTTACAAACTAGTAAGAGCGTCTTTGGTTTTCCGCAAACACAAATTCCCAGGCATACAAACAGAAAAGCAATAACTAGTTCCTTCGTGACAAACATACCTTACGCCCATCCTTTCTTCACCAAAATTTAAGTTTAGGAATCAAACATTATTATTCAGTAATATACTTGTCTCTCCCCTTACATAAAAAGTTGCATTCAAAGAAAATACGTTTAACCACAAGTCAAATCGAGAATTAAGAGCCTTCTTACAGCAATATACTAATGGAAAAAAAAAACGAAATATAAAAAGAAAAAACCGTACACAGATCAGATCACACGCACGCAAGCAGAAAAACTAGTTCAAAATGTTGAAGCAACGACAGAGAGAGGAACCTTCAATGCCGGAATGGAAGATGCCAAATCCAAACCAGTACATGTAATTATTGATAGGGGTGAGATCGTAGACATTCAAGACGACAAGTGTGCTGCGTCTGTTATTTTCGTTGGAATCGGAGGTGGAGGAGTTTTCCGCTCCCATAATTAGGAGGAGGTAATGAAAGATGAGAAAAGGGAAAGAGAAGAAGGACACGGAGGAAGAAACGACCCTCACACAAAACAGATCCGACTCCTCTCCATGTCCATGCCACCCAGACACACACCAACCTTAACAAACAAAACTCAGATTCATTACACTTTGCCAATTTTTATTTCCTATAAATAAAAATTACTATTCTCTGTTTCAAACTAACAATATTACATACACATGCGTATGCACAAATATTGGTACCCCACATTCCTTTTTTCAATTCGTTTAAATAATAATTGTGTCAAAAGTGAAAGTCCAAGTTTGCCAAGTTTGCCATTGGGACTCGGATTAATATGCGTGCTTTTTCCCTTGCTTTTAGAATCACGTGAAAAATATTATCGTTGATTTTTTATTTAATCGTTAGAATTTTGTTACATTATTTACTTTCCTTTTTATTTCATCTTTAGTCATCACTTGCGTCTTCCATTAAGATTACATACAATTGGGATCCGGATAGTCACCTCAAATAAAAATGGTTCTTTTTAATGTGTAATAAAAATTTACACACAATATTTATTATGATTTTTAATAAACATTTATTCTTTATTAATTTTAATTATATACTTTAGAATATACATTAAAAACTATAAGAAATAATTAAAAGTTAATTTTTGTATGAATATAAGTTTACTATTAAACTTTAGGGGTAGACTAGAAGCGCTTTCGTTCTATCTCCGTCGAATGGAAACACCCAAAAAAATTCAACATAAAATTAATTTTTATTATAATTTATTTTAAAACAAACAAAACACTTAAAACTTAGATTCTCTTTAAATACTATACCAAGCCATTGAATAACAATCTACTCCCAGCTAGAACATTAGAGCAGATTCAACATCAAACTCCACGTACCTTTTTTCCCCTTACACGTAGAGGGAGAAGGCAAGAGAAAATGAAGAAAAGAATTGGCACAACAACATCGGTCAAGCTCAATTGTTTGGAATTCACGGGGAAATTACTACAGTGAAAAATGGTTTTTGTAACATGAAAGCAGAAAAATAAGATTTATTTTGTATTAAAATATACTAAAATGAAAAATACTTTCAATGCACTAAATGAAAAATACTTTAAATGTATATGTTCATAATTTCGTAAAAATTTTTCAATAGCATGAAAATTTCATATGTATCATTAATACACACTGAGACTAACGTATTCACATCGAAATTAATCATTTACGTGTATCTAGACTAATCTTCTCTTCGTGTATGCACATCGAGATTAATCTCTACATGTATCACATTGAGATTAATTCTTTAATCCACGTCGAGATTAATATTCTAATTCACTACGTGTATACATACCGATACTAATTCTTTTACCTAACTCTTTAAATGTGAAACAATTACTAGCATAATAGCGAGAAAGAGAAAAGAAAATTTGTTGATTCTTTTTGTTTTTGTCACCGTGTTTGCTTAAGATATACAGCAATACCTTTGTTACGGTTTTACCACGCTAATTCTTATCAACCCTGACAATAGTTTTATTGTCCTTAGTATATTTGCTCTGCTGTCTTATAATAATTTTTCTCATTTTGGTCAATAATTAGACAATCTGATATTGATATATGTAATTTTAATAATTGAATTTTAATATATTATCAAATGATATTATATTATGCTGCTGTTTTATTATTAATATTTTTAGTATTAGCAAAAAATATAATAATATTTTATTTAAAAATTATAATAATATTTTATTTTAAAAATATTATTTATTTAATAAAATAAATTATACAATCTTAATTATCAAATAATAAAAAAAAATTTATAAAAATTAAAACACTTGTTAATGTGTGACTTAGTAAATTTAATACTAAGCTAGTCATTAATTTATTAATATTGACGTTTAGTAACACTCCTCAATATTCAAATAATATTAAGTAATATTTTACTTTTAGAGACTCTTAGAAAATAATATTTTTTTTTCATCTTTACAGAATTAATTCTAGAATATGGTATAATTTATCAATATTATAACAAACTAATTTAATGACTTAATAATACTTATTTTCCTAATAAAAGTATTAATTTTAATTGAGCTCAAACTCTCACTACATAAAGTTGATAAATTCTTTTTTGAATTATCATTAATTTTGCAAGTATTTAATTATATACATTTTTTAAATTATTATTAATCATACAAATATTTAATTATATATAATATCTATTCAGCTGGCGCTCCAAAACATCAGGTATAATATGACTTATTAATTACTATGATAATTTAAAGTTAAAGAAAATTTATATTTTTTCTTAAATTTTTTTTATTAATAATATAAGATAATATTATTTATAAAAAATTCTTAATTTAAATCAGTTCAATGAATATATTCATATATATGTTATCTATGTACATAAATTAATAACTAAAATATATTAATATTCATCTAATAAATACTATCATATATATTATAATCTATCCGAATTAGAATAATTTAGATTAAATTATAAGAGAGATGATAACAAGTCTTTAATTTTATTCAAAGACCTCTATCAAATAAACTAATTATATTAAAACAGTGTAAATGAGATAAAAAAATAATAATAATATTTTATTATTATAAGTGAAATGGAGTACATGGTAACTTTGGGTCTTCGGTCTTGAGATACACATTTATTCCCAACAATTGCAGCAAAAGATGGGAAAGGGTAAAATGTTAATTATACTGATTATAGTATCCTCAACGAATAACACTTTTGTCTCATTCTTTGTTTGACAATCAGCAATGCAAAACTCAGAACTGTTGGACACTCCATAGGACACATTGGATAATCCAAACCGAAAACTCCCCTTTCTCCTTCTGTTCCACATTTTACCTGCAACAAACAAAGGTAATGAATAACCATATCTGAAAAGACAGCTAAGTGGAAGGAGCAGAGAGAACACCTACTTGGGAACATTAACAATAATAATTCAAATTGATACACTTGATTTTCGAAGTCATGGCTGATCATCAGGGGCTACCCGTCTTCGCACACGGCGCCTTCTGCTATCAGAACCTCCATCTGAAGACTCATTTGCATCATCTCTAGAAGCAGATCCAGATTCTCCCTCATAGGTTTCTCCCCAGAGTGTAGTTGGTCTCCTTATTCGCATTTGGAGTCGGGTTCCGGGGGTACCCCTAGACACAGATGCAGGTTGAAGAATGAGGAAAAACACAGCCAGCAAACCACCATCGTCTATGGGGGGAATGCCATCATCAACCCTGTTTTCCCCAAATGAAGTTTGAAGTGTACTAAGCAGGTCGCCAAGATCCCTCTGTCTCTCCAGCCTCCTCCAGTTACGTTGACGCTCAGGGTCCACGGCTGATGGGCGCTCAAGAGGATGTTCAATCCTTGCATGCTTTCTGAGATCTGTGTATGTGCCACTAAAGTTGCAAGTCTCACAAGAACAGCTTCTAGATTTTTCATTCATGAAATGACGAGCAGCCTCCACTACTTTCCACTCTTTTATTTGCCCTCTACACAGAGGGCATACTAGATTTGATTTTGTGTCATTCTCACAGGATAAGGGTTGCATTGTAACAGATCCCTCACTTCTTTCTTCTTGCACATCAACTGTATCTGCTTCTGCACCTCGGACTTGAGATGGGTTGGTGTTTGAAATTTGACTTTCTACTTGAGGAATTATTGATGGAGTTTCTGTTTCTGCAAATGACTTGCGGAACTGATCAAGACAGTTTGAGTGTCGATGGCTAGTGTTGCACATGTAAGGGCGGCATCCCTTTTCATGGGATGAGCATATGAGGAGAACGGCATTGTGAGGGTGCTCCATGCATACTGGACACCTAGCGTCTTCCCATTCTTTAACATTTTCCTCAGACTCTAAAAGAGTCTTAGGAGCAGATCTTCCAGAACGGCTAGAGCTGCTTGGATAGGGTGATGCTCTGCTACTATCTTGTGACAAGGACCTATCTCTTCTCTCCTTTGGCATTTTGAATTTTCAATATTTTTAAAATACACTAAAGTCTCCACCACCAAGGAAACAATTGAAGGAACTAGAAGCTACACACAGATAGCATCAACATGAGAAATTAAGGAAAAACTGAATTTGGCATCAACAGGTTTTGGTAAAACTGATGTCAAACACATCACACACATCAGTGCAAAAAATAGATAAGTAATGAGACACCCAACTGCAAAACAACAGAACCTAAAAGACATTTAGCATGCCATGCATAATCATTTGACAAAAACAAATTTCATTTCCAAAATATGATGTAAATTATCATGACCCAAACACACATACACATATACATATAAACATTCAAACCATTATTTACTCTCAGATTTCTCATAAAACTCCTTTCTTCCTTAATCTTTATTAAAGTAAAATCTCTAAGTTCTCGATATAATTTAGCAAACAAAATCCAAAACATCAATAAATCCAGGGTTGAATATATACCATAATAAGTTACACAAGGAGAAAAAAAAAACTATATTACTTTAAGACTCTAAGCTAGAGATTGATATCCATTCATCAAGGCATAACATGCTCATCACAATCTAGGGTCCATTCACTGTATGATTTCACAAGAATGCAAAACTGTCTGTCAACCCAACGATTATTTATTGCATTCAAACAAATCTCAGGCAACCATGTATCACATTTCAACAATTGAAAAAAGAATTGAGATTTTTTACATCAATTACTACATTGTGAAGATTCAAAATGCCACAAGAATCATTTCAAAAGAACCAATGCATCTTGAGATATGCCAATTTCATGTTATTGCATTACAATTGGAGGAAAATTTCAAGAATCCTTCCATTACTGTAATATTGTATGTTCACCTAGTGGGATAAGGTTTGGTGGTGGTGGTTGTATTATAATATTGTATTGTATGTTACAATTGTATAAGATACCACTTTCCAAATTATTAAAGTTTAATTATTCCATTCGGACAAGATGATATAACTCAAATAAATACGAAAACATCTTTAACTCAGTAATATATTTTCACTGTTCCCCTTCACACTTCATATTCCCCTGTGTGTCTACAATGCAGTCTGTAAAAATGGAAAATTGCATTTCGTTGGAATATTGTAATACATCAGGACCACAATTTAGATTATTCCGCGTTTCCATTCAGCATATGCTGCACAACCTTTCAGGCAAAATGAGTAGCAAAATTCAATGCATTTACCCATTTGTTATTGTATATCTTTTCCTGCTAAACATCAGTAGGACTCCATCCCAAAACTCAAGAAGAAGAAGAAACTGACTGTGCAGGTGATTGTATTGGGATAAAACAATACTAGAGAGTGATCTTATTAACGTAAGACTTGATAATATACTACCATCAAACTACCGATGATTGTCAATTGTTTATCAATACATATATGTTTTACAAATTGAATTGCAGAATAGCATAGTTAATTGTATTCAACACGAATTCCAAAATTTTCATCCCAAAACAGAGACAACTTTAACCAAGAAGACAAACGACTCATGTTGATGTAATACAGAGTTAATTGAACCCTAAACACAGTAAACCACAAGATGAGCATAGTAGCGGGTGCATACAAGCCAGTGGTTGTGTCGAAGCATTTAAATTATGAGCTCTCATACGACAACATCATCAAGAGCGCTAGAAGCTGATCAATCCAATTCAATAAACAGAGTAGAAACACAAAATAGCAGCCACAAAAACCTTTCATTTACAGCATAGTTATGCTTAAACAGCATCATGACAAACAAATTGCACAAAAAATTCTAGTGTGAGCAAAAAAAGGAGCTCAAGTTGAAAATATACAAATCAAAACACAGCTAAGCATCAAAGGAAAACTGATCAGTACCCACATGAAAAGTCAAAAAAAGATTAGAGCTTGGGGGAAATGAAACCCCATGGGGCAATTTATTAGGTAAAAAAAGTTAGGGATTTGATTAGTTACCAGAAAGAAAGGCAAAAGAAAAAGGAATCTTTGGGGTTTGTGAAGATCAGAGTTAGTTGATGCGATTGAAGTCCTCCGCGACTAAAGAAACGAAGGTGGCGCCGCTCCTCCTCCAGCTATAGAGAGAGAGAGAGAGAGAGAGAGAGAGGGAGGGAGGGAGAAGGAGAAGAGGAAGAGGAAGAAGAAGAACGAGGAGAAGGAAATTACGATAAATATAAGGGAGAAGTTAATCGTATGGTATGAATTATGATAACAATAATGTAATAATATTGTAACATTAAACAAATACAGAGCGTGAATGCTGACGTGGAGGAGAGAGATACAACTTTTTTAGAATTTTGGGAAATTCCAACAATTTTGAGTCGGCGCTGTTTTTGTTCTTTCGAATTCAAGTTGACCCGCTAAATGCCCCCTTCTTTACCCAGCTTAGTTATTTTCACTTAATTCTAACGAATTTATTTTTTTAAAATATTATAGATACAACTTTTAAAATAAAATTTTTAAGACAATAAATTCTTATATATGTAATAATTCATGATGAAATTAGCGTACAATTATTTATATCGTCATTATACTTTAATTAAAAAATTATGAATTAAAATTGATGTATTTTAAAAATGAGTTCAGGTTATATTTTTAGACTCGACCTAATATTTCTTAATCTAAGACAACTCAAAAAATCTAACATTCCGTATTTATATCCATAGATTGATAACAATTCATTCTTTGAATTTAGTTGAACACTTACTCCAAAGCCATTGGATTATGACTCTACACACTCATCACATATGATTATAGTCAAAAGTTACATTTACTATTGAATGACACTCAAAATATTTGACAATTATGTCACACTATAATGGATTATGCAACTCACCTGTATCGTAGCATTTTATATGTATTATCCTTTATTATTATTCTACTAACTTGTCTTTCATATTTATATTTTTTTGGTGTCAAACCCGATTCTCTGGCCTTGAAATTTAGCATTTGCCTTGAAATATTAATCCTGATGATGAAGTAACGGGAGCATCCACGGTGGGGACAAAGTAGCCTACATTTTCTGTGCAACAAAACAAGTGGTGTGTTCAAGTAGGGTAGGTTGATGTGAAGGCCCAGTCTACGCGCGTAAACTATAGGAGAATGATAATCACACAAGTATGTATCACAACAAAGCAACCGTGTGTGTCCACGATTGCGCATAATCAAATATTATTTCCTATACTGATAATGAAAAGTCACGGTTACTGTGTTGACGGGAATTTTAGGATAGAAAGATGTGAAGAACAAATGGTTTCATTTTATTTTATCCTTGGTATTATTACCCTTATCATACGTGCTGTCTTTTTCTCATTCTAGGGATAATCAATACAAAGACGACGACACTGGTAATCGTAACTCATTAGCGTCTAAGACCAACTATGCAAAAAATACCAGTGGTTGGTGCTTAATCCAAGGCAGATATAATATGTGCAAACAAGAGATCGAATGCAAAATGATTCTTCTGGGTTACTCCTTCCCTGAATGCAAAATTGCCTCAGAAGTTATTAAGATTTTTAATGCGGGCCAAATCCACGAGTAGTTGAACACAAAGCTTATGTAATTTGTTTATTTAAAACGCTATGATCTTCTAAATTATATACTTTTAAATTTGTTGTTAATCTACCAATTTAAGACTATTATCGTAACAAGTTGTTCAGCATATGCTGAATGGAAGCTTGGAATAATCTAATTTGTGGTCCTGATGTATCACTGTGGGTAATTGGCATCGCTACACCAGCCACAAAAAAAGGTGGGCAAGTTCCTCCATGGGTTTGGCAAGCCAAGATTTATAATGACAGAACAATTGCTAAGTCCTTAATCAGGGAAGGTAATTCAATCTGAAGAAAAATGAGATAGATGCGCAAACTACCAGATGCAGTACACACTTCAGCAAGTCACTTACACAATCATATTCTAAAAGGAACAAAAGAAATGCAGCAGCAGTATTTATCGCTTAACAGGTCAGTCATAGCCTTTCCCCAGACAATTAAGACAGCGTTGAACCCTGCAAAACCAAGAGCAAGCATTGAAAAACCAGAGTGACCCAAAAAATCCCAAATTATAAAAAAAATAAATTCAAAAGCACTAAAAGGAATTTCCTTAACTTCAAGAGAACCCCAATAATGAAATCATATTCCTTGTCTTAACACTTTTTTCTAAGCAATCATACCCCAAAATTGAAATCACATCGAATATAAAAAAAAACGTAGCATGAAGAAGAGAAACAAAACCTAACCTGTTTCCTTCGCAAGTAGGACAAACGCAGGGGTTAACTGCAATAGGGTCATACATTGGGGACCAAGCAATGGTGGCGTTCCCATTACACAGTTTGCATATATAAAAGCCCTTCCCTCGACAAGCCCTACACGGCAACGCAATTTTTTTCTACAAACAAAACCCACAGCATGAATCTCCAAAAGAATATAAGATAAAGCCACAAATTTTAACTAATCTTTACCCGTTTCTTCTCAGACACAAACTGAAGCGTTTTGAGGGTAACTGAAGAAGCCAGGTTCAAGGTTGCTACTCCACCCAATATAACTGCAGTCCCTGTTACCCATGTTCGCAATGGTCTTGAACTCATGCTTTTCAATATCTATATACCTATGTATTTCTCTTCTCACGGCCAATTTCTCAATTCACTCATTTGCCCCGTACACAAGAAGTTGCAAAATTACCCTAAATATAAAACTACTTCACAAGAATTAAGAAAAGGTAATGAACTTCATTAATAATATTAAATTTATCTGCAATTTATTATTTTTTTAAAATTACACTGAAAACTATCGGAATATCCTGTCTTATTCTCTTCCTACCTAATTAATTACTTTGTCGCCACTAAAAATATTTTTTACAAAATAATCTCCAAAAGGGTTCTATATTTAAGACCAAAGATAGTAAACTGTAATCTTTTATTAAAAATTTTAAAATTTTAAAAAATGTTCAATATAAAATTACCATTTGTTAATTTCTTATACGTTATTGAACACATAAAAAAATTGATATATAATACAATTTTTGTTTATATATTTTTATCTTTTAAAATATATTTTATGATATAATTTTTTAATTTATCATATAATTTATATTTATATAAATATTTATTTATTCAAATAAAACATATTATTATTGTATTATTATATTTTTATATTATATGTTAATTTTTATTAATTAAGTAGTGTTAAAATTGATCTATTTATTATTTAAATCCATGCATAAATACATTATTAATTTTTCTTATGACATATCACTCGCGCGTTTATTATCTATCTATTGTATCATATATAAGCACTTCACTGTATTTAAACTAAAAATTTACTAAATATTTTTAAAAAAAATTATAATATTTAATAAGATATACTACTTGATTCCAATTTATATAAAGAAATAATTACTTTTTAGTGCATTTTTCAATGAATTTTTAAAACTAAATAGTCATTTTTAAAACAATTTTTTAATGTGTTCCTAAGAATATAAATAAAGGATTAATAAATAGTAATTTTTTATTAAAATTTATAACATTTAATATATTAATTCACTAATAGCAAAAAATATATTAATTCTCTGAAAGTAATTTTTAATAAAAATTTCATTATATATGAATAATTATTTTTATATATCATTAGAAAAAACGTTTTCAAAATAAGCAATGTCAAGAATGCACTATATACTCCACTAACTTGGCTAACTTGCCTTGAAATTTAGCATTAGCCTTGAAATATTAGTGTATGTTTGAAAAATATCATTTTCCCTTTACTATTTAAAAAGTATTAAAAAAAATACTGTTTAATTTTGTTTGAAAAAAAAATCAACTTATAATCTTTTGTTAATTTTTTACAAAAATATAAAAATAAAAATTTAAGATAGCCATAATTTTGACTTATGATTAAAAACTATCAACTTACATTTTAGTTAACTTTTATTATTTTCATTTTATCCTTAATAATTAATTATTATAATCACAAAACTAACTATTACACAACTTCATATCTTTACAAATAATATTTCCCTAAAAAAGTGATTATTTTATAATAACATATTCAAATATAAAAATTATTTTATTTAATTAATCATCACAATAATCAAATATACATATAATTGATTATTCAAATAATATAATTTTTATCGATTAATTCAAACATACTTAATCCTCATGATGAAATGGCTCCATCCTCAGCCTCAGCTAGACAAACTAACCAACAATTTTTGTGCAACAAAAGAAGTGTAAGGTTTCAAGTCGGGTAGGTTGCTGTGAAGGCCCAGGACGTGCGTCAAATTTAGAAGAATGGTAATCACACAAGTATGCATCACAACAGAGCAACTGTGCGTGTCCACGATTGCGCATAATCAAATATTATTTCTATACCGATAATGAAAAGTCCTGGCATTTGTGTTCACAGGAATTTTAGGATAGAAATATGTAAAGAAAATGGTTTCATTCTATCCTTGGTATTACCCCAATTTTACGTGCGATCCTTTTTTATTCTAGGAATAATTAATACAAATCATAACTCGTTTGCGTCAGCCAACTATGCAAAAAATACCTGCAGTTGGTGCTTGATCCAAGGCAGATATAACATAGTGCAAATAAGAGATTGAAAGCAAAATGATTCTTCTGGGTAACTCTTTCCATTATTGGCTAAAACTGTCGATAATTAAGCTCAGCTACACACGAGGATAAGGCGTCTTTCACTTGCATGTTATTGGAGTCCATATCAAGGGCATCTTCATATAGCCTTTTAGCCTGCTGCAGTAACTTCACCTTCTCTTTACTACTTCCTGGTCTTAAGCGAGATCTCTGTTGCAATGCAACACCCCATCTGAACAAAGCTGCAATTCAACGTGTTTAAAATCCAAGTTAAACATAATAGTCGGACTTCAGGAAGCTATCATCATGAAAGAGATATATATAAAAAGGGACTAAGATGCCGTAGTAGAACAATTAGACATTAAGGAGAACATTTTACTATGCAAATTTTTCAAAAAACATAATGCCATCAAACATAGCTAGCAACTTATGTGAAAGTGTAATTATTGCACTCGTACTATGATCCATGTTTATGTTACAAAGACCCTAATTCCTATTCCTAATGCAGTTCTTCATACAAAGACATCTTTTATAGAATTACTTTTTAGATACTTGCTTTATGACTTAAAATTCTGAAAATCCATAGAAGACCATATACTTCATGGAGAATCTGTCAACATAGTATTCTCTGGTTGCACTTGTATGCAAAAATTAAAAATGACAAATTCAGAAATATAGATATAATACCATCTGGTGCATAAACTTTGCCTTTTAACAGCATAGCATCAAACTTGTCAATTGCAGCCAGGAATACTCTTTCAGCCTCAAAAGCTGCACCCTGTGTACAGTATTTGAAGATAACTCAAACTTTGATATAGAAACAGAATGTACAACAAAACTCAGCATAACAAACCGGCAGAAGAATTCATGTCAAGGAAATATCGAAGTCATAGAAGCTTTATCAAATTAAACAAATTACTAACTAATTTCTAGAATCAATTTAGCTCCTAACGAAATTGTACACATCATTGAGGCTACACATAAATGAAACAAAGCAGCATTTAATGTGTAATCTAAAGACTAATGACAACACCCTGATAAATATAGATTTAAGAACGAGCAGATGTAATTTCATGATGACAAAAAAATAATGCATACCGGACCAATATCTGCTATCAATTGGCCACGGAAAGAAAGAGCAAGGCCCCAATTGTATAGTGCTCTAACATCATTTGCATCAATTGACAATGCCAGCCTATACTTTCTGCCTGCCTCCACTAGTAGCTCTTCACACTCTTCACAAACATCAATAAGTAAAGGTGCAACTTCGTCTTTACTAGTGATTTTATTCCTCAGTCCCTTCAATATTCTATGTTTTCCAGATGATGGTTGGATGCTCCCAGAAAGAAGAGTTCTCAACTCACGACTAATCTTCAACTTTAATTCTCCATGAAGAAGATAAGTGTTTCCTAGCTGGCCTACAGCCAACAAACTCATAGGCTTCAACGCCACAGCTTTGGATAGTAAGTTTGCAGACCTGTATAACATCATTTCAGCTTGCTCTTCACCATACCTACCCTTTATAAACTCTTTTGCTTGTTTTAGAAGATCTGTTGATTCAGCAACATACCTATCAAACATCATGTCATCTGAAATTTTCTCAGATGAAGGGGTAGTGAATTCATTCTCATGTGCAGACAAGTCATCGGCAAGATGGCAATGATCATCGTAATTCACTGTATCATCTTTATACTGAGACCTGTCAAACCCACCTTCCCTCAGGTCACGAGAAGACCTGAAAGTTTCATGACCTCGATTGAGTAACTGCTCATGCAAAAAGGACGACTCACTTTCCATGCGTTGCATTCTGACTTTAAAGCTTTCAGAATCAAGTCGATTGTCATGGGATTCCCACATATCTGTTACACTGCTGGAATCCATCTTCAAAGAGAAGCTATGATTATTTGTGAACCTCAATCCTTTATTCTGGTAACTATACTCTTTATCATCATGGAATTTCTTAGTCCTTCCATGAATGTCCCCTAAGCCAAAATTTTCTCCCTCAGGAGTAGTTATTATTCTTCCATTTTTGTCCCTATCCAAAACAGAGTTAACAGACGAGTCTGGAGAAGGATCCATCTTACTATTTCCTTTATTATGATCAACAACCAAATTTGAAGCACTGCCTTCAACTGGAGGCACCGTACCAGTCCCTCGAGCTTGATCCAATGCTTTATCCACTCTTTCTTGCTTAACATTTTCTCTGACTTTGGTGGAATTGGAGCTAAGCAAATTTTCCACAAACAATTTGCCAATAGACTGTAGCATCTGGTTCCCAGTTTCTCCAACTTGTTTTTTTCTTCTACTAATCTTATGGTTCTCAACCAAAACGCCGCTAGAGTTTTCCTCATTATCAACTACACTCTGCAAAATATCCCTAGCATTCAAAGCTGACAATTTTATCTTATCTGTGGTTTCAACGTAACCATAAAAATCATCCACTTGAATCCGCTTTTTCCTAATAGAACTTTGCACATCACTCTTCAAGTTCTCAACCATAACATCAAGCTCATAAAAAAACTCCACCAAACTCTTCAATTTCTCATAAGATAGCTTCGAACTCTCCTCCTTCTCCCTCCTCTTACTTCCATTTGCCCTCACATCACCGAACATTCCATTTCGAAAAAACCCTACCGCGAAACCAATGGCAAAAACCAACGCAGAAGCAGGAAGGACAACGATAGAAGAAACCTTAACTCTAGAAATCGCCATCGCGCAAACAAGGCCAAAGAGGAAAACGAAAACGTTTTTCCTATCATTGATTCCAATAGAAACGAAGAAATTGCGCAACGCGTCGAACTCACCAGGCACGTCTGAACCGCCGAAATCGTCCCAACCTCCATAAACAGTTGAGGAAGAAGCGCACGAAGCTCTTAATGAAGAAAACGAAAACCTGAGGGGTTTGGAGCTGCAAGTCCATTTTGTGCGGAGAAAATTGCGTGCGAGGAAAGGAACACGCAATAGAACAAGCGAGCACAATGACTTAGAGTGAAGAAAATTAACGGGATTTTTCGTAATTACGAATTCCATTTCATCAAAGAAGACGCATTCTTCTTCGATGGACTTGTACCTCAGACCTCGGAGTGAGTGGTAACTGCTACCGAACGGCGACGTAGAAATTCGGAACTGATTAAACGACATGTCGTATAAATATATCAAAACTGTCAATGAAAGCCACCTCATGAAACGAAGGTCGTTTTGTACTGGGGTATGGTTGCTGAGAAAAACAAAATTGTGACAAGGAAGATCATTTGATTATTTTGGTGGAAAACATTTTGTATGGATAAAAAAATAGGTAAGAAATAAATTTTTTTATTTTTTATTTTTTATTTTATAGAGAAAAATAATATTTTTGTGAATTCACTACAATTGTTTTTACACAAAACGATGAGATTTTGTGTGGAAAAACTTGTGATATTTTTTTTATATTTTATTGAAAATACATTTTTAAAATAATATTAAAATATAAAAAATAATTAAAAAGATTACATAACTAAAAATTATTATACATTTTTAAAATTTTTTGTTAAATAATTTTGTATTGTTATTATAAAATATTTTTGTATAAATTGTCATTTTTTTACTTTCTTTTTATTTATCTATACAAGTAAAATAATTTTTTATTTCTATCCATCCAAACAACAAAATTTTTATCTCATTTTCAGATATTTTCTTTCTATTATTTATTATCTATTTCATTCAAATATAGATTACAATTTTTAATTTTACTTTCCTCAAGTTAGCAAATTTTTTATTTCACACTAATTTTTTCAATACTTGTCCATGAATTTGCAGGGTTCGATGCCATGTGCATTATTTGGGAAAAAAAAGTATGATTAGGAGGTGAAAATAGGTTAAGATAAGTTAAGTTTTGCATAAATAAGTACCTTATTTTATAATTTTAAAGGTTTGATTGCTCTTTTAACTTATTTAACAGGTTATCTAACTTAATGATAAACAAGCTAGATAGGGAAAAAAAATTAAACACAAAATATTGTTAATATATTATAATTAATGCATAAAAATATTATATAAATGCATATATACATAACAGGTCTTAAGTAGGGTGATCAAATGGGTCTAAGCTTTTTAACAAGTTCAAATGTAACAAATCCTAATGAAAACTTATTGACATACTCAACAGTGTGAACATAATTGGGCTCGTCTCGCATATTATTTTTGCCTATTTTTCGGTTTTCACTTCTAAGTCCACGACTCCTTGGAGCAAAAATGGTTTTTTGTTATGGGCAAAAATAATGTACATTGTTTGTGTGTTTTATGGGTTTATGGGTCTCGTCTACAATCACCCTGTCACGGTGGTCAACGATGATCCAAACATGCCGTGAGTTTTCCAATGGTGAGTTGAACAAAAAGAAAAATTGGTTCCCCAAGGTCACTTTTGTATTTGCTCTATACTGTGATGAAGTAATGTACATGCCTTTATATTAGCAATATAATCTTTAATATATTTTGTAGTTAATAATTTAAAATGTGATTAAAAAATATATTAAAAATTGTTATTGACACTCCTGTGTTCAAGTGTCTCGCTTTTACGATAGAGCCTATTCGTTGATTGTCTTGTTGGACTTGGGTCCTTTGTGCCTAGGCCCTTCTGTACTTGTCTTTTGAGAAAAAATAAATCAGTTAAATAAGTTAACCAGTGTATTTACATACACATTCAACCTTTTTTAAGAAATCTTTTACCATTTAAAAAATATTATACTCATAAAAAATAAGAATTTTGTTTAGTAGTGCTTTAAGAACACTACTTACTAGCGTGAAATGCACAAGTATTTTATTTTAATATATATATATATATATATATATATTAATAGTTAAAAAAATATTTTTTCATAATTATTTTAAAATAATTATATATGTACATAATATAAGATTATTTTTAATATTAAATTATTTAAAAGTTATTTTAACTTATCTGTAGCTACGAAATATAACATGATAAATAATTTTTATAAATATAAATATAAATATTTTAAAAATATATAAAAATTTATATAAAGTAATAAAAATAAACAATAATTTTTATTTTTAAATGAATTTAATAAAAAATAAGTAAAAATTAAATACATTATTTTAAATTAATTTTAATTTTAATTTAAAAAAATATTGGTAACTAATTATAAAAGAGAATAATTTTATCGAATATCTCACTAGATAAGTCCTGAAATAAGTTTATTAAAAATTATGAAGATGGATATATTTTCTAGACAGAGTAGCGAATATCTCACTTTCTAGACAGACACTTGTTACCATTTTTCATGAAATAATATTAGCTCATGTTTATTGATGTAGTGTGGTGTAAAACTTGAAATGGTGAAAAGTGCATTTGCTTAAACATAAATTATATTGTATCATGTATTTCCATAATAGTTAATAGATGGTAACGAAGAAAGTTTGAGTGAACTCAAATACGCACATAAAACAGGAAATTGAAATAGTTGTGTTTGGACCCCATGAGCAGAAGCTGCCATGCCCATGATGATATGTCCCAGACAACAACAAAGGAAGATCGCATAAGATTGCCACTGCTGTTTTCCCGGCATATGCATCCGTACGTGTCCTTCTACATTTGGTCCACTCTACACTGAAATTTATGCTTCTCCAATATTATATCATTATACATTTTTTACAATTATTTTTAGGTGCAAATACTCTGTTTACTTCTGCTTCATCTTTATATTCAGGTATATGATTCATTATATTGCACGGTTGCCAGATTGGCCACGCTTTGTTCAGTGCATGCAGCAAATTATTGAAGGAGTGGAACTCTGATACTCTGCTCTGAGAGATGTTAAAGTTGGTTGTTTCTGTGTCCTCTTCGTTTGCTGTTATCCTCTTACCATTTCATGTCGTTAAATTAACCATATTCTGCCAATCCATTATCAATTTTGGCATATTTTCAACTTAGAACTCAACAAAGCACCTAGAGAAGCATGGATATCATACACCACCCAAATACAATACGACATAGATACAATTATAAAGTATAGGATATCGTATTTTGTAATACAATGTATAAAACTCATTTGAAATTAACATATTAAAAATTTTAAATTACAAAAAAAAAAAAAAAAAAAAAGAGTTGTGTTCTCAAAATGGTCACAAGTTATAATAATATAATAAAAATGACTATACCAACTATGCTCTAAAGTCTAAAGGCATTGTTTAAAGAATTAAAAATAAAAAAATTCTTGAAAATTTGTTAGATTGCGTTGAAAAAAAATCTTTAATTATATTATAAAAAAGTTATTTTTAATTCTTTAACGAGTATCTTAAAGTATTAGTTAGCATCTATCTTATAAAAATATTATAAAAAAATTATTTTAATTTTTAAGATCAAGTTTAATTACACAAAAATAGTAAGTTTTTAATAAAAAAAACAATATTATACCTTTATAATTTTAATGTAATAAATGTATTTTTTAATAAAAATTATTACTTTTAAATTCTTAAACTTAATTTTAAAGATTAAAATTAACAATGTTTAAATATTAAAAATATTTATTTATAATGATATTTCAATTAATATTGGATTAAAGTTATAAAAAGGTGAAATCACGAACATGTTACAAAAAACATTTAAAATGCTTCTAAAGTGTCCACTTTATATGGATATATGTATCTCATATAATTAAGATACGGCACCATTATCTTTTAGAAGTATTTGTCAATCTTTACAAAGCACAGTTAAATCTTACACCTTTTCTGGTGTAATTGGACAGGAAGGACCTAAGAGAGTGATTTAAAAGAAAATAATATATATACTTTTAATATATATACTTCTTTGGATACACTACAAAAAGTTGGAGGAAAGGGAATTGGGACCTTCTTATTGTTTATTTTCAATTTAATTTATTATATACATATAATATTAAAAACTAAAAGTATTTTTTTATTATTAAAATATTATGATGAAAATTTTAAAATTTTATGATTGTTGTAAAATAAGTTTTTATCTAAATCTATTTACTTTTTCTATCATTTTTATTCACACAAAAAAAAGTGAAAGATTTTTTTTTATATTTTCCTCTATTTTTATGTATCCAAATAATTTAATTTTTAATCTATTATTTATTTATTTTCTTAATTTCATCCTTCATCTAAACATGAGAAGTGTATATTAGTTGTGGAGTACCTCCAAAATCTTTAGAATAGAAAAATAGGTCATTAGAGTTTTCTGAATAACCTTTCTTTTTTCCTTTTATGGCATCGATGAGTTGGTTACACAGACAATTTCATTCAATATAAATGATATCTATTTAACTTCCCTTTTCTTTTTCTTATTTTACTGTTTTTGCCTCTCTTTTTTTATTTCCAGTTTTGTTGTGGGTTCTTTACTTTTTAGCATACAAACAAGTAGACATCATAAAGGTGGGTCATTGGAGGGTAGTTGATAGCGCTTTTTGAAGGTCTGGGGAGAAGAATGTTATGGAGCAAGTGATGGAGCTTCGAGTCTTCCTATATCTTTGCTACCCTGCATGACTGCAAATTTTTGCTGGGTCTGCTACCAGAATTGTAACCAAAAGTGTAAGCGACAAGATCTTGCAGATAAAACGAAGAAATAGGAAAAAAAAAAAAAACCCAAGAAATTATATATATGTGTACTTCATGATACAAACACTAAAATGATTAGAATTATTGCCTCATATGAATAGCAAGAAGCATGAATTCAAGGGTATTGTGTAGAATCACAAATGACAAATCCCATCAAATGGGAAACAAGATCTGGTTTGACACACACATATATATCCCGACACGCATCCAATTCAATTCAAATTAACCCATATCCTCTCATTTTTGCATGATTAAATTGTTCTTGAATTGAATTTCTTTTCTTGTGATTCATGATTATTAATTTACCGGGAAAAAGAAAAAATACTCGGTTTATGGGTCCACAAGATCAACATCATGAAATGGGATAAGTGACAGGTAGTCTACTGTGGAAAAGATGGGGAGATAAGTCTTTGTTGACTGATGTATGATTTATGAAGTTAGAAAAGTAGAAAGTATGATGATGCATTCGTGCCTTTGCAAATGCAATGAATAGTGTGGGAGTTACCCAGATATAATGCAATGCAAACTTGAGGCTTAATGAGATGGATCATATTAAATTTTCTCTTGAAGATAATATAAACTTGTATTATTCACGTGAACATGTCACAGTTTGGAACAATATCAGATTGTCTTGCACACGAACAATTCTTCGAAATAGGTTCAATTTAAAACCAAACTCTAGATAGAGTTTTTCAGAGAAATGTTTTTTTTTTTTAATTTTATCATCCCTTTATAATAGAGATATATTTAATTTTGAGACATGTATGCACAGAAAAGATAATAAATACATGAATAATTACATATAATATCATACGCTACATTAATTTTTAATAATTTCAACATGTAACCGAGTTGTTTAAGAATCATGATTAACATTAGTATTGCATCATTGAATTGTACCAGTACTGCACCACTTTTGGCAAAGTTATAAGATATATTTCGTATTTCTAAGGTGGGCGCGGGTATAAGTATGGACCAAAGTAAGTGGCCCTTCATGTGTAATTACTAATTGGTTCACATGCATGGCAAGGATACCATAAATTAAGATGACTAGACTTTACTGCATGTCATTAATAATTACATACATTAATACGCGGACACCTATATAAGATATAATAACATTAATGTTACTTGCTCCCCTCCCTCCCCGTTTCAAATTGAGATGGTGAATTCAATTTCGGGCACGGGTTGTTCGTGCATCCTCATTCCTCAGTACAATTTCTTTGCAACGAATAATGGGTGGCAATTTATTGCGCTGTGTTGTTCAATGTAGATTGTTTTTCTGTCTTTTTCTTTAATTGCATAACATGACATAAATTACTAACATGAAATGATATTGATACTAAGTTAATCTGCTGACAGACAAAAAGAACCATCCACGGCAGAGTTTACGATGTCGTTTGCATGCTGCTTCTGCTTTCTGCTTTGTTATTCCAAAAGAAACTAGAAAATAATATATTCTTGATTTGCGGTTACACAAGCTTTAAACACAAAGAGCCGGTGCTTTTGACCATCCCCATTTAAGAGGCTCTTTTGTTTTGTTTTCTTTTCTTTTACTCCTTGTTATTGAGTATTAAACTGTGATAAAATATACTTCTTTAAAAAGAAAAGAAGGAAAATTTGTCTCTGATCATCTTGTCATCTGTGTATAAAAGACATTTTAAAAACAAAAGAAGAAAAAAACCGTCTTTGATTCTTCTTGTCATCTATGCTTTGACTACTATTATGATAGATAAATTTATTGACAAATGACTCACTATTCTTACCTTTCAATTATATGAAAACCTCAATCGTAAATTTTGTTATTTTTGGGGGCCACTAAATTTGTCTATTGAAATAGCATTTGATCCACAGTCAAATGATCTTGTTAATGATTTCCACATATATAGCTAACCAATTAATACATATACTTAGTTAATTAACAGTGTTTCATTATTATTATTAGTAGCACCACCACCAACACAAGTGATTTTTTTCTTAATCTTTGCTAACTTACTAAATTAATTCAATTAATTGTTGGAGCTATGACTTTAGTTAATTTAATTTATCTATGAAAGAAAATGGCACGTTTTGCATATGTACACATAAAATGACTTTACCATAATATGGGGGTATGTAACTGAAGGGTTAATTACTATATATTTATATATATATATATTAAAAATTACAATGTCAATATTTGATGTATAGTATTAGTAGAGTATTAAATATTTTTAAATTAATGTAAATTTTTATAAATATAATTTACATGCTAATAACTTTTAATTTAACAGTAACGTTTGGGATAAAATTATTTAATAAAAAATTATTATAAAGTACGATAGTGTATATCTTATTGCAGTGTAATCAATCTTTCTTCTTTGACTGCAGGAAAAAAATAAAATAAGTGGAGAGATAAATTTTTGTTTATAAATTAAAATTTATAAAATATAATGAATTATTAAAATATATGTACCTGACAGTATGGCATTTATTTTCCTTTTTCTGAATGAAAGCTCTTAAATAAATATGTACGTAAAATGAGCATTGATGGATATCCAGTCCTACCCTTCAAACTCTTCCTTTTAAACTTGACAGACTCATGCGATTAAGATATATAAATATTAATTAATATATTTAACTGCAAATTAATAGAATGCATATAACATAATTAATAGAATAGTAGAGCTTATGGGCATATATATTCCTTTTGGAAATCACTTTTGAGAGAACAAAACCTAGTGGGTTCGTCAGCAGCTGGCCTGGTCACTTAGCTAACATGCTTCAACAAAAACAACACAAAAAACTTTTAGTTTCTAAACCTTTTGGTCGTCCATTTTATACAATCCTACGGGACAGAGAACGTGAGGACGATCCGAAAAATACCTTGATGCCCTCTTCCCACCACTCCTTCTCAAATAAAATCCTTCTAATTTGAATGACCAACAAAATATTTGCTTGCATAAAATCTAAAGTTTCGTTCAATCCACATAAAATATTAATCTTCTAGGAATCTTCACTATTCTGCTTTTGACATTTTTTCTTTCTAGGATCAACATGTTGCTGCCCTGTAGCCTCTCATTCAGTAAAAGATTCCTTCTGTTCATCTAATTCTAGTTAATTATATATTCAATCTATCAATTTATCTGTGAATATCATAAGAAAAACAAACCGAGAATGGCCAAATTAAAATTGAACATGATAGTGAAAGTATGACTTTTTAGTTGCTGAAATATGGGCTTTAAATAATAATATAAGTCATTTCATCGCCGAATGCTAATTTTAATTAACACGCCATTCTAATAATTCAGCAAAAGTAACCCTTTGTAGCTTTGTTAATTAGTTCTTGTTCCACGTTACGCTTCATCTCGCATGTGCAAGCAACCAATGCCAACAAAGCCAGTTTATGTAATGTAAGACAACTTTAACTTGTAGACACCTCAACGCATTTATAACTTGTTTAGATTTATGTTTAATTGATAATAGATAATTTTATTTTAATATTACTAATTATAAATTTAGGTTTGTTTAAGTAAATTAATAAGAGTAAATATATATTATTTTTTTATAAATAAAATCTCGTTATTTCATTTAAAATATCTCATAAAATGAATGAAAATAAACTCTTATAAGTTTTAAGATGAATTTATATTTAAAGAATCTTTAACGTATTTTAAAAAATATATTTAATATTTATTTTATCATATCACATCATTCATAATATTTATTTGTTTGTTTTCTCTCTCTCTCAAGAGCTATTTTCCATATATAAACCCCACTTCATCACAAACCCAGTGTGAAACCCACACACTTTGAAAAACTTTCACACGTACATGTTACCCTGCACCCACCATGGCTGCCACCATCATAACCACCGCAACCACCACACCCTGCAGAGACGAACCCGACTACGACAGCAGCTCCTCGTCGATCACCGTGCCGGAATCAAGCCGGAGCTGGATGACAAACCTCAGCTTTGGTAGCCGCCGGCGCCGGAGCTCCGTCTCCGTTTGTTCCTCCACCACAGACACGTCTTCGTTCCTGGGTTCACACGCCAAGCCCCACAAGGCCAACCAAGCTGCATGGGAGGCCATGCGGCGGCTCCGCCGCGACAAGGGGCAGGTTGGCCTCGACCACTTCAGGCTCCTGCGGCGGCTCGGAAGCGGTGACATAGGGAACGTTTACCTTTGCCAGATAAGGAACCCTCTTGTGGGGTTGCCACAGTGCTTCTATGCCATGAAAGTTGTGGACAGAGAAGCACTTTCTATAAGGAAGAAACTACAGAGAGCAGAGATGGAGAAGGAGATTTTAGCCATGCTTGATCACCCTTTCTTGCCCACTTTGTACACTGAGTTCGACGCTTCTCATTATTCTTGCTTGGTCATGGAGTTTTGTCCCGGTGGTGACTTGTATGCTGCTCGCCAACGCCAACCTGGGAAGCGGTTTTCCATATCATCCACTAAGTAACCACTTTTTCCTTTGTTAAGCTTCTCTATAGTTCATTTTACCCCTGGTAGTTAAAATTTTGAGAGTAAAGTTTCCCTTTAGTTTACTTTAGCTTTTAACTTTATAAACTGTATTTTTATTTTATTGTTAATGTTACTAAGAAAATGCTTCAATATACATGTGTAATTAACTTCTTATTATAACTATATGAAGATAATAATGTAGGGGTAAATTTTGAAAAATACGCAGGTTTTATGCAGCTGAGACACTCTTGGCATTAGAGTATCTTCACATGATGGGCATAGTGTATAGGGATTTGAAGCCAGAGAATGTGCTTGTGAGAGAGGATGGACACATTATGCTTTCAGATTTTGATCTTTCACTGAAATGTGACGTTGTTCCGAAGCTGTTAAAGAGTAAGACTAGATTGGAACGCAGTATCAAGAGTACAAAGAGATCTGCACCTGCCTGCACTGCCCCCATGCAGCCTGTGCTATCTTGTTTCTCAGCATCAAGCAAGAAAAAGAAACCCACTGTAACAACGGTTATAAGGGAAAATGTTGAAGTTCAAGAACTTGATCCGGAGCTGGTGGCAGAACCAATTGATGCTAAGTCAAAGTCATTTGTAGGGACACATGAGTACTTGGCACCAGAAGTTATTTTGGGACAAGGACATGGGAGTGCAGTGGATTGGTGGACATTTGGGGTGTTCTTGTATGAGATGTTATATGGGAGGACACCTTTCAAAGGTGAAAATAATGAGAAAACTCTTGTAAACATTTTGAAGCAACCATTGGCTTTCCCTAGAATTGCAGTGAGTAGCAGCAAGGAGTTTGAAGAGATGGTGAAAGTTCAAGACCTTATAAGCAAGCTGTTAGTGAAGAATCCAAATAAGAGAATTGGAAGCTGCATGGGTTCTGTTGAGATCAAAAGACATGAGTTCTTCAAGGGTGTAAATTGGGCTTTGATTAGATCAGTTAGGCCCCCTGAGGTCCCTACTGATATGAACAAGATTAGGAGTAGGGTTTTGGTACCAAAACTAAGCAAGACAGACAGGGATCAGCCGTATCAGCTTAGTGCTCATCATTTTGAATACTTCTAACTGAAAAAAATGTAAATAGTTTAGGAAAAATAGTTTTTTCCAAAATATGTGTTTATTTGCCATTAAAGAAAGTAAGGGTTCTTCCCCCCCCCCCCCCCCCCTTGTTTTCTGTTTTTTATTTTCTTTTCCTTTTCTGTACTGATGAGAGAAAGAATTAGAAATTATATGTATGAGTATGACCAAGGCACTATGCATTGAACTCACAGTTTATTCGCTCATAATAATAATATTGTTATGTCTCTCTACCAATAAATTATCAGTAGTTGAGGACTTGTAGGTGTAAAAAAGTGAGATCCCATAATTGTCCTAATGTGATTCTTATGAAAGGTTACGAAGTCATGTGATGACAATAATTACACTTCTCATTGATGATAAAATTGCAGGGAAGAAAAGGGAAAAATCACTTTATTTTAACAATACTTTATAACATTGTATACTTTTCTCGTATGGCTATTTTCGCATCTGCGCATTCACATGTCCTTTTCACCGAATGAAGAAAAGAAAGAAAAAGGAAATTGTTTTATGGGCTCTTTTTTCTCATTGTTTTTGGTAAAATGTAAAATGTGAATTGTAGTGATTATCTACAGCCCTTTATATTAAGTTGAGGTTCTAAAAGCTCATTTGAGTTTTATGATTGGTAATATTCTTTAGGAGAGAGAAATGTATGTAAACAGCTCTTTCTCAAATCAAGGGTAATGAATGTCCGGATTAGTTAATAATAAAAATTGAAGGATTTGGGAATGTGTTGCTAACAGTAATGATGAGGTGAGAGGGAATAAAAGGAGTGCAGGCTGTGTGGACCATTTTGAAAATGCAGTAAAAAATGACTGCAATAATTTGATCTTAACATCTAAACCAAAGGAACCCAATCAAAATCCAAGAGGAATCCTTTTCTTACCTAAAGTATCAATAAATCAAATAATAATATCTACTATGAGTCAGTGCATATGGATGAGACCCCAAAGCACTGGTGCTCTCTTCCATAGCAGCCCGAATAACAATGAATATTCATTAGGTACTTGGAATCCCTTATCTCTTTCTCCCTGCATAGTGAAAAAGAAAGGGAGCATTTTCCTCTTCGGAGTAAAACTTTCGTTTTTACAGAATTATAATTAAAAACTTGCATGATTTATCCGTATATAGAGAGAACAACAAATAGCAATTTTGAGTCATACAACGACATTTTGTTGTGACTTAGACAAAAAAATATTAGTAATTATTTCTTCATTTTTAGACATTTTTGAAAAGTAAACAATTTTTTTTTTCATATATAGTTGTATCCAAACATGCATTAGTTGGTAATATTTTATGTGGACGGATTTTATGTTACTTTCAAGCAAAGATTAACTTCACAAGTAAAGAAAATATAAGAAGAACTTGTGGAAGAATAAAAAAAATCTTAACATAAAATTACTAGCAACAGAAACATGATGAAAATGAAACTACAACCCTTTAACTCAAAAACATGTTAGTGACTTTCTCCCTCCACAAAGGAGAGGTTCCTAATTCGACCCACATCCTCTGTCATTTAAGTGGTAACTTTTGTCATATATCACTAAAAGGAAGACAGCATAAGCACCATTTAGATTTGCATTCTAATGGAGTACAGCATTATAATGGGCAAGCATCAGCTTTTATCATGTCATTGATTCAGTTCTTTAAACATGAATGAGCTGTAAGATGTGTGTGCCGAAATAGTCAAGTACTCAAATGACTTTTTCTCATTTTTCCTTTTGGCTTTTTGTTCTCTTTTAGAGGTTAAATCTTGAGGTGAAGTGAAGATGAAGCAGTTAATGTCAGTAGTTCAGTGGTTGTTGTTTTAGCTACAAGGTATGGTTGAGGTTGAATCTCGTGACCTTGAAGCTTGCTCTCAATGCAGGCAAAATTGGCTTCGACAATTTCATTTGTTTACTTCTCATTAGAGTTGCTGTGACTTTTTTTTTTCATAATTTTGTGAATTTTTATTTTAATTATTTTAGATGTTAACTTTTAACTTTTTTTTAAATTCAATACTTTTAATCATTCGTAACTATTAAATGATGACACAGTTGAATAAAAACTTGTCACATATCAATTTATTGTGAAACTACATTACTGGGAGAAAACAAAATAAAAAGTTTGAAAAATTTAAGGAATAAAACGGAAAAATAAAATATAAAAAAATATTTAAGTTTATTTTTAAAAAAATTTATCAGTATTTTTACTAGTGAAAATTTTATTCGATACATTAATTATGTAGATAAACAGATAGATTTAGTTAAAGTGTACTGATAAACAATGTATGAATATTTCATAAATATAGAATTAAGATGTGATCGAGTTACCTGAATAAAATGGTAGACTGATACCGTACTCTGAGAGATAATGCATTTGTTACCATTCCTTTGAGCACAGAACATAAAATCTAAAGTTTCAGCAAATATTTAGCTTTTAATGTGTATCAGGTGTGTTATGTGAAAAAGCTCAATTATGTTGGAGGCATTATAGCAATCCAACCCAACTAATATGATTTGATAGTTCTTTTTTCTTTTGTTGTTGGATCTCCCTCGTTAGTCGTGATCTCACCCCTTCTTTTTGGAACCAACATACATATGGATTATGGACGCACTCAAAATTTACCTTTATTTTGAGTGTAAAACTTATGCGAGTCACAACTATTTGGCGTGGTAAGCATTGGAAAGAATTTAACTTTAATTATCAACTACAACAAACTAGAACAGTTCTCCTCATATTTCAATGCCTAAAATGTAACATTAAGAAAAGAAAATTCATCTAAGCTCTAATGGAATAAATTGTTAAATTAGTCTTCGTAATAAAAAAAGTAATATAAATTTAAATACACCTTTCTTTATAAGTTAAAAATAACTTATTTTTTCAAATTTTAAAAATGTTAAATGAAAGAGTTTCTAAAAATATATATATATATATTTTTAACTCTTAAAAAATTAATTTATCTTACGATTTAATATTTAATTCTTATAAATACTTATTTAGAAATTTATCTACTGGTATTATTTTGTAGACCCAGAAATGTTAATTCAATGTGGGCTCTTGGAGTATTAGCGGATGTGAGCTTGAAACAGCAAAGGGAATATTCATTTAGAAAAAATATTTTCAGTTTGGATAATTTTTTTATAGAATAAATTAATATAAAAAATAAACAAATTCTTATAAATTAATATAGAATAAATATTTTCACTTATTTAATTTTTTAAAATTTTAAAATATAATTTATTTCTAACTTACGAGGGAGGTTATATTTATTTTTTATTTTAAATTTTTCTCTTCCCAAGTATTTTTTAAAAGTTTATCCAAACTAAATTATAATAATTTAAAAAATTAATAACTCATTTAAGCTTCTATTTTAAAATATTGTATACTCATTAAGATAAAAGTTGAGTATTATATGACATATTTATATGTGTGATAACACTGACTATAAATGTAATTTAGGGAGAAGAACTGAAAAGCACCCTTGCTCCCCTGATGAGTCCCAGTCCTGTGTTAGTATTAGGAAAAGAGATTTCTTAAACTCACGTCTTACCCAACTCCACTTTGGTTTAAATAATTGAATAAAACTTTCAATTGACTAAGCTTTACCAAATACTGCAAAACGGTAAAACTCAGTGGGCTTTGGAGGGACCATAAACCACCCACCAACAGGAATGAATAATTTGAAATTAGATTAGTGTTATATTGTTCTAATTGTCACTAACCCTATTATAATTGACCAAATCAAAGATGCATGTTAAAGAAAAATTGAAATTATTAGAATAGCATAAACGACTACTAAAACTAAAAAGAAATTATAGATATTAACTTTTCATTTGATAACAAGATGAGTAAAATACCAGAAAAAAGGAACGAAACCTCTCGTTGAATTTTTTTTTGTTGGTAAAATTTTGTTTTAATAAATTAAATTAATAATGTATATATTGATATTATATATCAATTTTTTATATTAATAACGTTATTTATTAGTATAATACATCATAATGTTATTGTAGATATGTAATACTTTTATTAATATACATCAATACACACTTATATAAAAGAGTGCCGTTTCCTCAATATATGGAAATTTTGCTGTCATTTATTTTGCTTTAGATTTTTATAATATAATGTACTCTGAATACATTAAAGCTTCGTTAATATATTATATTGATTAAGAAAGTTTGTTGGCATCTGATAAAGACTAAAGTGTAGCCTCCGTACATTCAATTTGATGGCTGTGGGCTCTGACTCTCTATTTGGAGTCGCCGGTATTAAACTAGCTTCTGAATTCCAAAATGAAACCTATTATTTATTTATTTATTTTTAATTATTACAATATTTTACGTCATAAAAATTATATAAATTTTTATTAATTAATAAAAATATAATTTAATGCATAATATAATTATATATTATAATTTTGATAATTTTTAAGACTTATTTAAAATAAATTATGAATATCTTTTTAATATCTTGTGACTTTGTTGTTTCTAACTTATTTTAATAATTTTTTAGTTTAAATTATTAAAATAAATTGATTATATCTCATTTTATAAATTATATATTAAATTTAATATATAAATTGTTTTTATAAAAAACATTAAATAAATGTTTAAATAAATCGTTATTCAAACATACCTTATTAATTTTTTTATTTTTATTTTAAATATATTAATAAATTATTATTTTTAATTATATATATTATTAAAATAATTTTCATATGATAAAAAAATTTGATGGTTGACTAAAGGACAGTCTTGATATATATTAGAAAAATATAAAGTGATGATCAAGTTAGTATAAAAGTAAATTTTATTAAATTTATTTATCTGAATAATTTATAAAATATAAATTTAACAAATATAACTCTTAAATATTATTATATTAATATATTGATAATTTATATTAATTTTAAAATAAAATATATTTATTTAATAGAATATTAATTATTGTTAAATTTAATTTATTTATATGAAACTATTAATTTATAATTAAATTAATAAAAAATATCATTCGTATAAAAGATAATGTTCCATTCTAAGGAATCTGATAGGAATAAAA